TGATTTTTATAAAAGATTATAGAAATAACATGATAATATATTTTGAAGTTATCTAAATGCTTTGTTAACTGATGTGACAACGTGGATATGTATGATTTTATCTTTTATTTATTAAATGAAAGTATTAAAAGCATCCTAAAGTCAATTAAATGCTTTGTTTTTAAATTTGAAGTACTTTTAATATTTTTTTTTCATGTAAAAGTTTTAATAAGATGTGAAGAGTTTATGAAAAAAAAGAATATATTAAAAATAGAATTAGTTATTACGTTATATATATAAAAAATATGCAACAATAATAAAAGATTTTCTAATTTTTTTTCATACAAAAAATATAATATATATTCTCTTCAGTCTACGTTTTTTCGTGATTACAAAGTAATAATATAAATTATTATCGGTTTGTTATTCTTTTAACTACGTTCTTTTCTTAAATTTTTCTCATCTAAAACTTTTATCAAATTAATTTATTTTTAACAATTCATAAATTCAAAAATAAATATTTATACTTTAAGATTAATATAGATTAAATTTTAATAAATAAAAAAATATTAACAATAATATATAAATACATCTGTATTTCCATTAATATAATAATAAAAAATTAAATTTGGGATATTTATTTCTCTCTTCCAATTGAAATACGACATCACACTTAACAACAAGTATTTCTAGAAATATGAAAAAATACCTACAAACAAAATTCAGATATCTTGATTATCAGATGTTATAGGAAGATATAAATTTTGGTGATTAGTAAATAGGAAATAAAGGGTTGAGCTGAGAGTAATAAAAACATTAAACATGATGTGGAGAAGAAAAAAATGATAAATATAATTAGAAGACAAATGGTGGGTTAGTTGCAGAAAATAATCATTTGGTAGATGTGTGATCCTCTGAGCAGCAGCAGAGAATACAGGGCTTGTCACGATCAGCCATGCATGCAGTCACAGACACACTCTTTTTCTTGATTGGAGTATGCAAAATGAAAATGGAAGGATATGATTGAATGCTCAACTTTCAGAATCTACACTTTGAAACTCTCTCAGTGGAAGAATCTAGGTTGCTTTTGCTTCATAATAAGATAATTAGAAATGGAATAGTGTTAGATAATGATATTCAACATGCACTCTAATGTTTCCTTTTATAGTCATGCATGTGTTGGTTTTAATTATACTCTCAAGGATTATACTTTGTCAGAATCAAATTTGGCATCATAGATACAAAATAAAGATTTTTTTCATTCATGTCTTTAAGATATAAGAACAGTTATTTTTGTTCGAAAATAAGAGAATTTGAAATTTTCTTGTACATGTGTGATAATGGAATCACATGTTTCTTCATGCATTAATAAAAAAAAAATTGTATTGCATAGTTTATTTTGATATTTTAAACTATTTAAAGCAGCACTTCCTTTTCCTTTTTCCTGTATGTATATATATTTATTATTTACTCCTTTTTTTTAGTGATTAACATATTAGTTATATAATCTTTATTAAAAAAGAACAAATATTTATAATGTAAAATAAATTTTGTAAAATAAATTATTCATAAAAGAAAAATAGTATTATAATATAATAAGTACCTAAAAATTTAATACCTTGAGATATTAATATCGTAAACATTTTTTCTTAACCATTTAAATATATGAATTATTTATATGTACGTGAAAAACAAAATTTAAATACTCTTAGTGTTGTTCTTTAAATAGAATATTACCTTTACGTTGATATTTAATTATAAAATATGTAATTAAATATTGTATTTTTTTTTTATCTAGCTAGTGTGAAGGTAAAGTTAATTAATTTACAATGTAAAAAATTTCACTAATAAGATGTGTCAATTTTTTGGTGAGAAACCCTAGAAATTTGAATTAATTTTGAATAGAACGGATCACGGATTTAGGGTTGACAGTTTGAGGGTGAGAAAATATGACAATTGAAATAAATGAATGAAACGAAGCTTATAGGTAGGTGATTGTTGACCAAAAATGAAACCGTATGATATCAATTTCATTATTAATTAATTGGAGCGATGGATCGAGATTGAACACATGAACACAATTATAAGCATTCATGAATATGGGTTGTCACATCTAATCTATAACATCTTCATCTTGTTCCATGCACAATAAATAATGTTGTGGTGCTATGGATGATAGATCAAACTTTGGAATCATTTATGTAGTTTTCAACATTTTTTTTGTTTAATTATTATTTGTTTATTATTTTTTTAAAATATTTTAAAAATTTAATTTCTAAAATTAAAAAAACTTGTTTAATAATGATTTTATTAAAATAATTTTAAAAAATGTTATTTTTTATATTTTAAATCTTAATGAGATATATTATTTTAATTAATTTATTGGTGTCATAATTTTTAAATTAGATTTATCAAATAATTTAAAAGAAAAATTAAATTAAAAAACTTATTATGTTTTAAACTTAAAAATAATATATTTATAGTTTCTAAGTAATAATTGTTTTAAAACTATTTTCACTTTTAACAATAGATTTGCTAAGAAAAAGCCTATTTAAAAAAAAAAATATATATATATATATATATAAATATCTTTTTTAATTATAATACATGGATGGGTTACCCATAAATACTTTCATCATCATCTCCCTCATTACAATTTTGTGTAAATTGTATAAATTTCCAAAAAAGTATATATAATACGAAAAATGGTACATGCATAGTTGACTTGTTGATGATGAAGTGGTGAAAAGGGTTAGGAGCAGGAAATAATAAGGCAATTCACAACTGCCCCAACTACATGATTCATCAAGTTTTGACCTAGTAACCAACCAACTTTTAAACTCTCTTTTACTCTTATCGAAAATTCAATTTTTATTTTTTTGTTAGAATGAAGAATATCATAGATCATACATAAATCCTAATAATTATATATATATATATATATATATATATATATATATATATATTTACAATGATAATTAATATATATTAATCATCCTAACCAAACTTTAAAATACGGATAAATCATATTTACAAAAACAAAAATTTTAAGAAATTGATAATAAATTATCATTAAAAAAACATGAAACTCTTGTTTATATTTTTTTTAGAAACCAAAAAAGTTTTGTATTTTCACAATCTTGATCGCGGAAGCTTCTTCACCGTTACTCCCTTGAATGTATTAATTTCGTAGCAGAGTTGTCTCTATCATTTTTTTTATTACTCTATTGACTTTCTTTCACTTCTGAGGTCACTTATCTCTTAAAAATTCAAACCTTATCAGTTTTACTCTACCCATCCATCAATTTCTGTACCATTCTTTCCGCGTATGACAATTTCAGTATTTGAGTTAATTGTCAATACGACATGTTACATATCCATGACATAGCAAAATATGGATCAATGTAAGATCAGAAATTCATATAGACTAGTACATGAACTTTGAAGCAAAAGCCGAGTTCTGAATAAAACTTAGATGCAGTTTTGGTACCCTAATTATAAGCACACAATTTGCAGTAGGTTATATGTCCATTATTCTAAAGTTTACACTTGGATTAAGAAAAGTTATAATAATGGATCTGACAAAAGTACAAAGAATGATATTTTGTATGCTCCAATAAGATTTCTCAAATTAAAAACAATAAATGGGAATAATAATTATAAACAAATATAGCTTAATTACAAATCTTACTCTAAATATATTATAGAACTAGATAGAATCTATGTTGGGCTACCCTTTTTATTTTTCCTGCTATTTTCACCTACATTTGCCTAGGCGTATGATCCATTTGAGAGTGTGAAATAAAGCAAAAGAAAAAATAACTAAACCACTTTAAAGTTGAAGACGAAGAACAAGTTGGAGTGAGTTTGAAGTTGCAGCAGTACTGCTCTCAACTCATGAGGTTTTGTGTGTTATTCAATATTCTGTCAAGGTAGTTTGACTTTTGATTCAAAAAAGCACAGTCACATAATAACAATTTATTATATTCAAATCCGACCATAAATGAGGAGGTAGGTCAACTCTGCGAGTGTGATGAATCCTAGAATTGTATGATAATGCTTTGTTCTTTTGCATGCTTTGCTAGGTTTTTCATTCATATAGTATTTTTTTTTACTGAATTATTTTGCAGAGAGTGGATGATAGGCGCAGATAAGAAGACAGTTCACCAACATAAATGTTATAAATTGTTGGTAGGTTGCTCACCAAAACCATAACCAAACCCCACTTGGCAACACTCATTTTTGCCCTTACAACTAGTAGTGCAAATTCTGATACTCCTAGTATATAGTAGATGAGATAGCTTGCACCTTGGTTTGTAAAAAACCACCCCATTTACTGAAAAGGGTGTGTGAGTTGTGAACCAAAAACACTTTTCCTTCTGTGTTTGGTGTTTTTCCCTGGCTCCCCCCTTCTCTTATCCATGTTCCTCAACCACCCTCATTAATTTCCCTTCATTCATTGCCTGCCTGACTTGAACACCCTGTTGCAATCTATGTGAGAGAGAGCATGGAGAGTAGAAGCTCTAGTGTGTGTGATTTCTTCTTCTGGAGGAGAGAGGGGCAGGTGGGTGTCTTCATCTTTAAAGACTTCAACAACCCCTGAGAGAGCATTTATAATGGTGCATCTCTTGAGTTTAGTAAGAGAGAGAAAAGGGTGGTGCATCGTGAAAAAAACCAGTCTGGCCATAATAACTCTTCACTAAATCACTTCACCTATAAATCTCTCTCCACCATTACACTCTCCACCCTCATTGTACTTCTCTTCCCCCTTACAAAAACACAACCCTCTTCATTTTCTTTCACTCCTCCATTTTCCTCTCTTGCACTCACTCTCTTGCAGCAACCTCATACTCAAACCTTTGCACCAAAATGCTCCTCATTGTTCATACCCTTCCCTGAAAGATACTTCTTTTCTCATTTTTTCAACCACCCCATTTCCCAGAAAACACTCAGTTTCTTCATTTCTTGTTGTAGTTTTTGAGCTTTTGATTATTCAAGCTAGGGTGGTTGGTTTTTGCAATATGGAAACTTGCACGGCTCTATTGTTTTTAACGGCGATCACAGCTTACTTGATATGGTTCACGTTCATCTCACGGTCCTTGAAAGGTCCACGTGTCTGGGCCTTATTGGGCAGTCTCCCGGGCCTCATAGACAACTGTGACCGCATGCATGACTGGATCTGCGACAATCTACGCGCGTGTGGCGGCACGTACCAGACCTGCATCTGTGCAATCCCCTTCCTCGCCAAGAAGCAAGGTCTCGTGACTGTCACCTGCGACCCAAGGAACCTGGAGCACATACTCAAGACCCGCTTCGACAATTACCCCAAAGGCCCCACGTGGCATGCTGTCTTCCATGATCTCTTGGGTGATGGCATCTTCAATTCCGACGGTGACACGTGGCTGTTCCAGCGGAAGACCGCCGCACTAGAATTCACCACTAGGACATTGCGTCAAGCCATGGCTCGATGGGTGAGCCGAGCTATTAACAGACTATGCTTGATCCTGAAGAAGGCTCAGGATGAAGCTGACCCTATTGATCTACAAGACCTGATGCTTCGACTCACTTTTGATAACATTTGTGGGTTAGCTTTCGGGAGAGACCCACAAACATGTGTGTTGGGTTTACCTGACAATCGTTTTGCAACGGCTTTCGACCGAGCCACTGAAGCCTCGCTCCAACGGTTCATTTTGCCTGAGGTGTTATGGAAAGTGAAGAAATGGCTTCGGCTTGGCATGGAAGTGAGCTTGAGCCGAAGCCTTGCCCACGTGGACGACCATTTGTCAAATGTTATTGAGAAACGCAAGGTGGAATTGCTGAGTCAGCAGAAAGATGGGACTCTTCATGATGATTTGTTGACTAGGTTTATGAAGAAGAAGGAATCCTACACGGACAAGTTTCTTCAACACGTGGCATTGAATTTTATCCTAGCTGGACGTGACACGTCATCGGTGGCGCTGAGCTGGTTTTTTTGGTCGGTGATTCAAAATCCTAAGGTGGAGGAGAAAATTCTGAAGGAAATTTGTACAGTTTTGATGGAGACACGTGGCGATGACATGGCAAAGTGGTTGGATGAGCCGTTGGCCTTTGAGGAAGTTGACAGTTTGGTTTATCTCAAGGCTGCATTGTCTGAGACGTTGAGGTTGTACCCTTCTGTGCCGGAGGACTCAAAGCATGCGGTGGCGGACGACGTGCTGCCGGACGGAACCTTTGTGCCGGCTGGGTCGTCGGTGACTTATTCGATATATTCGGCGGGAAGGTTGAAGTCCACGTGGGGTGAGGATTGCATGGAGTTTAGACCTGAGAGGTGGTTGTCGTTGGATGGGACAAAGTTCATCATGCATGACTCTTTCAAGTTTGTTGCATTCAATGCTGGTCCAAGGATATGTTTGGGGAAGGATTTGGCTTATCTTCAGATGAAGTCCATTGCTGCAGCGGTGCTGCTCCGGCACCGCCTTGTGCCGGTGCCTGGCCACCAGGTGGAGCAAAAGATGTCACTCACTTTGTTCATGAAAAATGGACTCAAGGTCAATGTGCATAAGAGGGACTTGAAAGGGGTCATTACAAGTATACAAAAAGAAAAGGAGGGAGATGATGGCATTAGATGTAATGAAAGTTAGTGTGGTGTTTCACGAGATGGAGCAGAGTGTTGGAGGCTTTGGCATGTGGAGTCGAGTTCAGATGAGGAGAATTCAGATATTGGAGCTTTAGCTTATAGAACAAGAGAACATAATTTCCTTTTCAGCATAAAGGGTATATTCTGAGTATTTATAATTTATATGATAATTGTGGATGGATTCTTTTTCCAGGGTCGTGGGAGGGATGATTGCTTGCTCAGCCCATCTTCCTTGAAGAATCCTTGCAAATATTCATTGTATTCTTTATTTCTTGTTGGTTTTGATGTTTCTATTTAATTTTACTGGTCGTGAAATCTAAACTCACATTTCACAATGTTTAATGTTGATGTTCATAAAAGAATGCATAAGTTTTATTAAAGTATAAATGATCGGATTTGACTGCCCTGGCTGCTACATTTTTCCTGGTTGCATTGCCTGTCACATTCTGGATGATATGCTTGAGTGATAAACTCAAAACCTGTAAAATTCAGCTCTACAATCCATCTGCATTTTTTATGTGTGAATATATTCATATATGATTTCAATGGAAGTTGAAATGCACGAATTTTCTCAGTAAAAGTAGATATATTGATAATTGATGCGTTTTGTTCAGGACATTGAATCAGAAAGAATACTGCGCTACCAATTTTCTCAGTCAAGTATGATGAAGAAGAGTTGGTCATATAACATGCACAATTTAAGTATAAATACGCTTAGGTTATATGAGTGAAAAATATCGACCACCTTCCATAAAGAAAACATTTAGATCACGGAACATCGCATTCACGAAAGGTGTCAAGTTAATCCAAGATTTCAAGAGAAAATGTAAAAGCCCCCTCTATTCGGTCGAGAACTGTGATTGTGGCTCTCTTCGATTCTGCATGCTTCTTTTATGCTTCCAAGTGCTTAACAACTTTGTTCTTTTGATTTTGTTCCATCTTTTCTTTTAAATTTAAACTCTATGGCTTATATAGCTCACTCCTTCATTGACATCATTACATTCTTCAGTCAAGAACTTTCTCTCCAGTTGAAAAGATATTCCAGATCAATGTGCCTACTATGTACAATACAACAGCAACCTTAAATACATCATCCCAAGAACCTGCACAACAGTCAGCAGATCGCTTATAAGTGAATAACCATAAAAAAGCGCTTAGACTCTAGGATGCAAGTGGAGTATTCTCACCTCGTTGGAGTATGTATCCAGTTGCAGCTGTACCGAATACACCAGCAAGCACTCCTGCAGTATTTGATAGTCCCAGCAACACTCCCTGAAATTTAAAATGGTTAACATTCTTGTGGAAGCATATTAAATAAATCATCCAGACGACTAGAAACTTGTCTAACAGAATACAGATTAAATGAATAGATAAATATATTGGCAAGGTACTTGTATAAGATACTGATTATCATTAACTTAACAGTACTCATTTATGATTTCTTCAGTCGTGAATCAAATTAGAGATGCCACATATTGTTGAAGTGATTTGACACTTTTCCAGGTACTTAAAGTAGAACGGATTGGCCATCGGTTCTGTTAATTAGGTCCAAAAATCTTCTTTGCTTCACCATGGGTGTCACCAAATACAACTCATGCAAAAAAAGCCAGTTAACAGTCTTTGGTCTAAACAATGATCAACCAGTCTAATGCTGGCTTGTTGATCACTTTTATTATATACAAAAAATGTAAGAAAAGTGCAAACACTCTTGAGCTATATTTGACAGTTTGTGGATCTTGGTACATAAAACTAGCAGTAACTCACAGCATAGCGTGGTCCAATGTCTTGATGATTGGAATACAGACCAGATTGTGAGAATGCATCAGATCCCTGAAAAACAAATAACAAATAATTTTTATGTTAGGCCACTTTGCATACAATCAAAACTTACAAAGACATGTTCTATCGGCATCTATGATTTATAATCAGTAATTAAACTTAAATAGAGCATAAAGATCAATTGAAAATAGAAGAATCTACAATTCGGGAAGATATATATCAATCTAGCTCAAACCTGACTGCAAGCCATGCAAAGTACTGCCATAGCGGGTGTTCTCACATGGCTTAGCTGTGTAAGAAAAAATGCAGGACCTAAAAACCCGATTGATTGCATAATCTGTCAAAAGAGGAAATTTTTAAAAAGTGAAATCATTTTAAAGGGTAAAAAAGGAAAATGAATCAGTCCCAGGTCTCAATTGTCTTTACTTAATTTATTAATCAGATTACTATTTATTATCCAGGACAAGTACGTGAGAATTTTCACAATAAAATTTTGCTTCTAGTAAGGACTGTTGATTTAAAAATTTTATTAAGAGCAGTTTATTTAATTAATCAAGATTATCTTTATTAAGAACCCACGACTTGTTTACCTTTCGAACAGATGTTATGGAAAAGCCTTTGCTCACAAGTGTATCAGCAATCCAGCCTCCTATATTTGCAAAAATAGCCATGGTTAACCATGGAAGGACACAAAATAGCCCAGATTCAGTGAGATTGAACTTCAGAACCTGAGAAAATGAAATGTTGATTAGTTCATTCAATTGACACAGTATTTCGTTCAAAGTTTTCTTTCAGTTGCATTTCATTAAATCACCTAAAACTCAAGCTAACGATCACATTTTCGATGTAATATCAGCAATTAGGGTGAAACAAAATTTAATTCACTTGTCTTTATAGTAATTACCAAGAAATAAAAATAGTTGTCCGCACAAGACTAGAGTTTAACTGAGTTGAGAGTAAATATTAAGAGGTAATTTAACATCAAGAGTTCCAAAATAACAAACATTTTTATCTATAGACGCAATCAAGAAGCTAATTCAAGAACATATTCATAAAACTATGGGGCAATGTTGTACAAATTCTGAAAGTTTCATGCAAACAAGACCAGAATTATGTGGAAAGTTTGATGGGTTTCCCCCAGATTCACATGTGAAAAAATTATATGTAATTGATCTACAGATAATAAAAACTCCAATTTATAAATATGGAGATAAGCACTGTGGTCCCACTCTTGCTCGCAAAGATTTGGAATACTATACAATATTTGTAAATGTACATCTGAAAGGCCAGAAGGCAATTATGAATTCTTCAAAAGAAAAATAAAACTTATAATAAACAGTAAGCACCTGATTGTAGTAAGTAGGCATCCAGGTTAATAGAATAAATGTCCCCCAATTGTGGCAAAAGTGAGAAATTATTAAAGCCCAAACAGGTGCTTTTGATAAAATTAATTTCCAAGGAATAACTGATACAGGTTCTTTTGATACATTGCCTCCAAGTATGAGCTTCTTCTCTTCTGACCCAAGGTCTGGGTCTTCTTTTGGTGAGCTGTATGCCTGGAAGGGCCCAACAGAAGGAAAAGGATATGAGAATCAAGTTTCTCAGAAGGAATTACAAAGCTCCCTTCACATTTTTAATTTTTAAATGTGATGGTCAAAGCTAAGGAGTTGCTACAAGATAAAATTCCCAAAATATTGTGCAAGAAAACTAAATTACTCATATATCAAGTCAATGTAAAATTAATTGAATATTTGTCGCAGAAGCATAACAATGAAGTCATGCTAATTCTATGCAACACTTCCTGAGACGGTCCCTTAAAAATTAGCATAAAACATGAAAATATGTTCCGTAGGTTGGAAAAGTAGAACGGGCCTCCTCTCAACATTTTTACAATAGGAACATATAAAGTAGATTTCACTGAATTTATGCAATAAATGGCTTACTTTACTCAACCATAAAACAAACCAGATACTTCCAAGGGATCCAAATGAGTAAAACACCGATGGCCACCCAAATTTCTGGATAAGCACAGGTGAGAATGCCAAGCCTGTGACAGAACCAAGGTACATGCCACTATATACTAGCGCAAGTGATCTGCTTCTCTCTGATACTGGAATCCATTTGGAAAGTATATTATTCATTGCGGGCATCGCAACACCCTGAAAAAAGAAAACAGCATAATTTGTTGGCAAATTGAAGAGGGTAAAATCATTTTAGGCATAGACTTGATCACTCCAATGAGAAAATATATTTCATTTGATTGCACCATTGATCAAAGCAAATATAATGAAGCGTGGGAGGGGGCAGTTATAGAACTAACTTTGCTGTCAGATTAGTTTTCCGGGCTTTTCTTCTTGCTTAATGGTTAGGAGAATAGAAGCATTTTTCAATACTTGATTACTTGAAATTCCTGGTAAAAACTGGCAGTTTATTGTGCGTAACAAGTGACCATATGATAAAGACACCAAATAGATGAAGAAATAAAAGTATGGCTATAGAACGAACCAACCTCGCCAATTCCCATAAAGGCACGCATTATAAGAAGAAATGGCAGCCCAAGTTTTGCAGCAATAGGTGTTAAAATTGTTGCAATTGACCACCAGACAACTCCAAAACCTAGTACTAACTTCCCACCAATTTTGTCTGCCCATATGCCACCAACAATCTAAACCAAACAAAGCAACCTTTTATGCTCAATGGATGTAATGAAGAGACAGTTTGAAGATCAAAACATGCTAGATTGCTAACATGGGCTATTAAGAACAGTATATCTTATGGCATGTTCAACCAGCAGTGGTGACTAAATGCCCACTTGAAGATTCGTTTATGAAAGAAATCTCTTGTTAAGCTAACATGCTTTGCATATATATATATATATATCAGTCACACCTGAGTAAGTAGATAACCCCAGAAAAAAGATGACTGAATTAAGCCAACTGTTGCACTGTTCCAGTTGAATTCTTGAGACATCGGAAGTATTGCTATGCTCATATTTACCTATAAAATATAAAGGAAACATAATCCATATAATCATGGAACATCAGTAACATTTGGTTACTAAGAATGTGGAAATTTAGAAACACTCAAATTAAAAGTAAATCCTTTACATCAGTGGAGGATAAAGCGTAATAATAATTTCTACAAAAACATTTTATGAAGTTAAATAAATAAACAACTCCTGTAAAACAAGCAATTCAATTTCTACAAACATTTTTTTAAAGCATC